CACATAGGTATCTATAGGATAACCGGGTGAGTCGGGACTTAAAAAATTAGACATTAGATAGTATATTGCTAAATAATGGTGTTTTTTTTTATGAAAAACAAATCTAAATAAAGTCACGGCATGATTGCTGAATTTTAAAAAAAAAATTCTCATCAGCCAAGGCGGCTACTTTAATACTAATAAATAAATAAATAAATAAATAAAAATTATTTAAATAAATTTTAAACTAATATTAGAAATTAGTAAAAAAGTTAGATAACTAAAATATTTAAATAAACTTTGTCAAATCAATTACAAATATAATAGTTACTGGTAAATAAAATCTTCAAGCAAATAATATAATAAAAAAATCATAACATTAAAAATAAATAAATTAATAAATAAATTTATATATATTTAGATATAATATAAAAGTAAATTTTATTTGCTTCGAATAATTACTTATAATAAATAATTTATTATTGCTATTAGTAGTGTTATTATGATTATTATTGTTGTTGTTTTTAAATTTTAATATATATATATGTATTTTTTAATTACAAGTGTCATGAAAGACATTTTTAAAAAAAAATGTAATGTAAAAATCGTAAAATTGCTATATCGCTTAAGTCAGGATAAAACCTAATAAAAAAAATTTTTTTAAGTGTACTTGAATAATTTTCAATTGTTACCGTTCATTAACTTCCAAAATGGTTAATTCAACCCTTTCTAAAATCCTTCGACTTGCACTTGCGACTAATTTATACATCCCATATATAGCTTTAAGGACTCCTACAGCAACAATAATTGTGAAAAAAACAGCAGTAATTCCATCCACACCACGTCTACCACCTGTTGCACCTGTTGGGCCAAATCTGAAAGGACCAAACCACATTAATGAGAACAATAATTGTACAAACCCTACAAATCCTACGAACATGAATCCTAATAATATGTGAACGTAATCAATTCTAAATATTGTTGAGAACTCCATAGGTTCACGAAATAATGGAGCATATTTAAATTCATCAGCAATATAATCGTCACCGAATTCGGCAACAGGGTAAAGGTAGAGAAGAAATTTTGCAAGAAAACCACCAATAAATACACAAAAAGCGAACAACGTCAAAGTGACAAATGTAAGAACAACTTTAAATTATAAAAAAAAAAAAAGTTGTTCAATAAATTAGTCAATAAAGTAATTTAAAAAAAAAAATTTAAAAATATTATAATAAAAAAAAAATACTTACATTCATTAGTAGCGAATTTTGCAATTGTTGTTCTTCGAAAAGCATATTTATATTTACATTCGTCACATTGAAAAAAACTCGATTTCTTTTGACTACGTCGTCGCCAATTGTTTAAACATTCCACGTGGACGTACTTTAATAATTCAAGCTGCGAGTTAGTATCAAAAAGACTACGTCACAAAAATCAAGGAAACTATAAAAAAAAAAAAAGCCAACCCTCATAGTCCCTTTGCATTGACATGGAGAAATGAGACGGCCAAGACTTTCTTCTTCTTCAGGACCAGCAAAACATATACGACACATTTTATCCTCCACAGTATTATAGGAAGAACTTACAGCAGGATCGGTGTCCGATTGTGTAGGGAATTTTTTTTCTACGTTACAGTCACGATCTAGTTCTATAGAATCGGTTCAGACGATTCAATAATAGTTGTGAAAGTAGTAGTAAATTGAAAATGATCATAAACGATAAGTGATTTTTGAACGTTGTAATTCACAAAACTAGATTCACCGTGCTCACTTCCTTCGTTTGAACATGCCTCTTGTACACGACGACGAAGATATGAAACAGACTCCAGATTTTCAGTCATTAGATAAAATTTTCCACAAAAAAAAAAGTAAGAGGATATGTTATTAATTGAAAACAGTGTTAACTTTCGAGCTGTTTCACCAGATGCATAACATTTAACGTAATAAGAATGTGAAAAACACGTGATAATGACATTACACGAGAATCTTCATGGTACTTAATGAATATTTAATGTTAAAAAAATAATCCGATTAATCGAAAGTTTGTCTCGTTGTATGTTAAAATATAGTTGCAAAAGATACTTCGTTTCAATGGGGGTAATAAATTTAGTGAGTTATATATAAATTACCGTGTAACATGTCCGCAAAAAATTTAAAATTCGGCAAGAAAATGAATTTAATTCACGTGCATTTTTAATTGGCAAGCAATTTTTTGATCTCAAATAGAGAATATTTTTAATAAATTATGTACTCAAAAATATTTTTTAATGATTCTTGAGACACTAAGAACATCGAATGTTTTAACATTATTCCCAAGCAATATACAAATAAAATAAAAGAACAGAATATTTATTACATATTATACAAGATCAAATACGGTATAAAGTGGTATAAAGTTTAGAACGAAGAAAAATGGTGATTCTGTATATGTAGGTAAAGTAGATCTCGTTGTAACATATGTTTGTTTGTAAGCATGTATCACATGACTAAGGGTTAGTTATTAAAGAATTCCAGCTTCTTTAGTACATACAAAATATGATAACCCGACTAGGTCAAAATTGGGGATCGTCTAAAGCCAAATTCGGTAGCATTTAGTAGTTTATTTATATAGATATCAATAATGGAACTTATGCAATATGTAGATCTATATATAAACGAACTTGGCTTTAACCGACCCCAAAATTGGGTTATAGTATTCTGAACGATATCCCAATTGTTTGAATCATATCCTCAAATTGAACGATATGATCATGTCGAAGCAGTTCTTGACTATGATCATTGACATTTAAGGGTTGACGTTGACGGATATTTCTTGCTCTTCGTGTATTTAGTACCGGTTGGATGGTTGAATATATTGTTTTGTCGGTTATTATTGCAATTATGAGTTCTGAAATAATAAATTAAAATAAGTCATGTATAGTACTTGTATGTGCGCAATAAAAAAAAAAAAAAAAAAAAAAACGATTACTCACTTAAATACCAAGAAATGTAGATGAAGGTCAGAAAAGTAATCGTTGTTTGAATGAGTGGACGAAAGCAGTAAATTACATGTAAAATGTCAATGTCTAAACATTAAATGGTTAGATTAGATTAGCAAAAAAATTAAGAAATCATCGAATAACTGACTAAATACGTACCTTTTGGAACTGCGACAATCATGATTAACAAACACTGTTCTTTTATGAAATATTAAAGAAATAAGGCAGTGTACACATATTTATATATCAAATTTTTAATAAGATGCACAACGTATATAAATTTTGTACTATTACTGAGTATAGCAATCAAAGGTTCCTTGTTGATTTTTAGTATCGGTATTGTGTGATGATATTGATGTCCTCAATTAAGATATCCTAATTAAGATCGGTATTGTTCGCATAAATGATTAGTCTTTATATTATCGTTTCTGAGATTTTGATTGGCTTGGTATTATATAAACGGTTGTCAAGCGACTCAAAATAAGCTTTTACCTCGCACAATTAAAATAAAGACAAACGTTAATTTTTGCATTTGATAAGTTTCACGAAATTCAACTTTTTACAGGTTTTTTTCAATCGTGCTAAATAATGTTCAGATACTGACGACTTTCACACGTTATTTGGACTAAGCCCCAAAGAAATAATGGACAAGAATCGTATGATTAAATCATACGATAGCAGCATAGTTCAATTAATATCGTTATTTTTACGTAATTGATAAATCTGCTAAATTTTCTGGTAGTTACCGGTAGTGGTAGCTACTAGTCACATCTAAT